AGCGCTGTGTCTGCCTTGCTCCTGGCGGCATCCCTGGACCTAGCCTGGCACACAGTAGGCCCTCAGCAAGTATTTACTAAACGAATGTCCAGGTTCCTACTGCATTGGGCTCAGGGGAGTCCCCACACCCCCACCCCAGGGCAAAGCCTAACCCTGCAGCCGGTGAGGATAATAACAATTTATTGAATCAAATCATACCCCAAAGAGTAGATTTCCACTTAAAAGGAAACCCAACAAAATCTGAGATTCCCAACCGCAAGACGCTGTCCTTGCCGAAGGAGAAGCGAGTCCCCGCCCCTGCAGTGGCCGTGACCCCCTGTGAGCGCCACGCTGGCTCCTCCCTGGGAAGGCTGAAACGGAATGACCTCAGAAATTCTCAGATTCTGCCAATTCTGCTGAGGGCAAGTGGCCATGTAATGTCACAGCTCCCCAGAGACCGGCCGCGAGGAAGGGACACTGACTGAAGCAGAGATGCCCCGCGCCCAGCAGAGGCGCAGGGGAGGGATGGCTGAATCTGGGGGCTTTCCTGAGGGCGTGCCGCTCACACCGGGGGGGACAGTCGCTCACATGGGGGGTTTCAACAGGAAGAATGGAGACAAAGCAAATTTTATAAAGTCCCAGGATTGGAGCGCGCAGGGCCGGCCTCGCCCTCCGTGTCCACCTGAAGCACTCGTTCTCATTCCTTCTCCAGAAGGCCCTGGTCCCTCCCCAGACAGCTTTAACCTCTCCGTCACACCCTGGACCCGTCCTTCATTCTAGTTCTCCCTGGGAATTATCTACATGCTTCTCTCTCTCCACGGCTCACGGGCAGTGGCCGGGCTGTGCCACCAGCCACTTGGACGAACCAGACCCTCACTGAACATCCCCTGAACAGGACCAACCAGAAGACCCTGGGAGCTTAGGCACCACGGCTGGCCTGAAAGAACGGACGTCACAGGGGACGATGCTTTCTTCTCATCAATATTAACGGACAATCTCGCCCAACGAAACCACAGGCTGAGACAGGCTGGTCAAGAACTGGCGATTACAGCAGCGCTTCTCGACCTCAGCACAGTGGACGTTTGCGGCCGGGGGGTTCTTGGTTCAGGGAGGGGAGCCTGTCCTGTGTACCGTGGGATCTTAGCAGCCACCCAGGACTCCCCATCTCCGTGCCAGCAGCACCCCCTCCCCCGTGGGACAACCCAAACCATCTCCCGACAATGCCCAATGTGTGGGGGCGGGGGGGCAGAACCACCCCTGTCGAGGACGGCTGATTTTAAGGGAGGGATGAATCTGGTGAGGGGTCACTGGAAAGTGTGGGTTCATTAACTCACCAGCAGTCACACGAGAACAGAGCACGATTTGAACCCACGCATTTCTCCAAAGCGCAGGTTTTTTCCAGCAAGTTTGTAATTTTTGGTATTTTTTTTTTTATAGCATTGTTGCCTTGCTCTCCAGGCCAGCCATATTTTAATAATCACAATCTCAACATTTCGTAGAGAAAAGTTCGATACACCTGAAGCATCCCATGACTTCTGCAAGGAAGGTCTACAGCAGGGCCAGCACGGAGCGTGGAGATTTGGCCACCATCGAGGGCCACCTAGGGGTCCCTTGGCCCCAAAGTGTAAGGAGGGGACCATCTGGCTGTGGCAGCACCAGCTCGTGCTGCTGGCCCGCCGGTGTCTCCCCGTTCTGGTCTGGAATCAGGCGAGTGGGCTGACTCGTCCTGCTCTGGTCTTTATTCCTCGCCCTCAGCTGTGGCTCCTGCCTACGAAACCCTCAGCCTCAGCCCATCCGGGGCCCCATTCCCACACAGGCCCGAGAGCTGGCTCCTTCGCCGCCTCTTCATCCGACTGGCAGCTCCTGGGGAGCAGGGCTGTTCTCGAGTCATGTGGCCCCAGCACCGAGCGCTGGGCTGGCACAACCAATGACCGCCAAACGCACGACAGAAGAAACAGCAGCCAAACAGAGGCCGCAGACAGCTGAATGCTCATGAGTTCTTTATTGCAATAAATAACAGCACACTGTTCACACCACACGGTATCTTCCTAACTCGAGGCCCCAGCTTAGGCAACGTCCGGTCTGCAGCACAGCATGCTAGCCCACAGCACACGGGAACAGTGTCACCTTCCCGCCGTCAGCAGGGCGGCTGGGACAACAACACGGCCAGGGTTTTAGTGGCTTTTATTCAATAGCCATAAATCCAAAGTAAACACTGCTTAAAACGATTAAAAAGACAATATAATACTGGCACACGAAGCGGGTGGAAGAAGGATTCAGTTGCTTTAAAACAACACAACTCTTTGTCACATCCAATTAGGACAACAGGATACACGGGGCTCTGGGCTCAGCGCTTGCATAACAACCTGCGGTTGTTAAAGAGGAACCAGGGCTGCAAGCAGGTTCCCCAAGGCCAGTGGGGGGCAGGGGGCTTCAACGACGTGCCACACGGAGAAGCACACAAGGAAGTCAACATCTCCCGCCCTCGCCCAGGCGTCCACGCAGGCCTCGCAGACCCCGAGGCTTCCGTGCGCCAGGCCCGGGGCTGCATGGGCGCAAATGATCCTGCTTTCATTTAGTTCCTGTAGATGAGGGTCCTTCTTCAGGGAAGGACAATTCACTGAAAATGTGGGTCAGTTGAGGGAAGAGGGTTCCAGAACTTTCCTCAATTAAGGACTAACTGGGAAGTGCTTACATTCCAAGGAGCCCCCAGTGAGCGTCAAAGGAAAGTTGTCTCTGCTGCCCAAGCGGCCCCAAGAAGATGCCCCAGCACGCGGCACCCTACAGAGGAGACATCCCAGACCCTGAGACTCATGTCCAGAGAATCATTGTCCCCAAGACAGTGGGGACGATGGGTTCATCACAAGAGGAGGAATCATCGCCCACAGCAGAGCTCATCCTGACTTCTGCCTTGGAAATGGCCCATCGATGGATCCGTCCAGGCCATGCTTCAAATTCTGATTCAAACTGGACAGGGCGGAGTGGGGGGGGGAATGAGATGCATACAGCCTGAGGGGGAGGCAGAAGTGCCCGAGTACAGTTTCCGTGTATCTTATTATTCCTTTAACTCTCCTGCTGGAAACACAGAGGGCTTGAAGTGGGCTCGCTGCCTGAGGAAGCTGAGCCCCCCCTCTCCCCATAACCACTTCCTCCCCTTGTTGGCAGGGAACTGTGGCGGCTGCCCGCCCGCGCTGAAAACCCCCAGGCTGTGCTCTTTCCAAATCCCGACCTCACGTCCTTTGTCCCCCCGTGGCCCCCAGGGAGCCACATCGCTCTCGCCCAGCCCACCTGTGAGCGAGGCAGGTGGACGGGCCCCCGCTGGCTCCGCTGGCTGTGATTCTGTGCGTGTAATGAAGGCGGCACAGAACGTTCCAGCCCCAGCTGTTCTGTCACCGTGGTTCTGTAATGTCACTGCATCCCGCAGGAGACACTGTAATGCCGTTTTAATTATTTCTTTCGCCTGCTGGGAAACCACCTCCTTCAGAACGGCTATTCTGAACCCATCCCCAGGCTGGGAGCAGCCGGAGCTGAGACAGAATATTAAACTGTTTTCTAAATCTTAAACGTTGGTATTCAATTTAATATCAACGACGCACTCAACAGCTCTGATCTACGGCAGGAAGGCGGAAATCAAAGAGATGAGAAAGGCTCTTCTTGCTACCATGGTGAATGCTGAGGAGGAGGAAGGAGGCTGACTTGCAGGGGGCTCCCGAGGGGGTTGGCGTGTCATAAACCCCAGCCCAGGAGGCGGGGGGTTGTAACACAGTGCAGGACCCGCCTGAGACCCAGCCGACGGATCCCCATTTCCCTCCTGAGCCACGGTGAGTGGGGGGTGAGCAGCACGTACATGAAGAGTCAGCATTTCCTTTTACAGGGCTCCCCAAGGAGAGAGCCAACAGGGCTCCAGAAAGCTAGCACTCCAGGAGGAGTGAGAGGAACACTTCATATCCCCTGTTATGGGCTGGATTGTGCCCCCCTGAAATTCATAAATTGAAGTTCTAACCCCCAGGACCTCAGAACGTGACTGTATCTGGAGACAGTCTTTAAAGAGGTACTCAAGTTAAAATGAGGTCATCGGGGTGGCCCTAACCCAATATGACTGGCGTTCTTATAAGAAGAGGACATTTGGACATGGGTACAGAGGAATGACCACGTGAAGACACAGGGAGATGACGGCCACCTACAAGCCAAGGAGAGAGGCCGCAGGGGAAATAACCCTGCCCACACCTTGATCTTGGACCTCCAGCCTCCAGGACTGTGAGAACACAAATTTCTGTTTAAGCCCCCAAGGCTGTGGCACTTTGTCATAGCAGCCCTAGCAGACTAATACACCCCCGTTATTAACTTCTAAAAATGCATCCATTCCCAAACAGGGCCTCTGGGATGGAAAGTTCTGGCCCGACTGTCTCAAGCAGCATTTCGGAGCCGGCCCCCGACCCAGCCCACTCGGCCGGAGCAAGAAATAAAGAAATGCCCTCAGCAAATCCTTCCTTCCTTCGGCCAGGTCAGCCAGGTCATCCGGGTCACAGATGTTTGTGCAAAACCCAAATGAAAAAAAAACTGAGAGGGCAAGAAATAAAAGGAACGAGGGGTGGACACTCTGGTCGCATCAAAAGCTTCTGGGACTTCAGAGGGAAGTTTTTAAAACTGCAAAATGCTTTTTACTAAAAACGCCTCACTTGGAGGAGAGCCCCGCCCAGGAGATTCCCCCAGAACAGCAGAGCTGACAGCGTTTCTGATCGCCTGTGATCGCTAATTGCTCCATCACACGGCACGCAGGGCACCCCTCCCACGGGCTGAGGAGTTGGAGTCTGGCTTTTCTTTTTCATCTTCTGATCAAGGCGGACGACGGACTCAGCACCCTGCAGACCCCCAGGTGAAGCAATGGTGTTTGAACCCTGCATTTCGAAGGATCCCGCCCACTGTAGAGGGAGGGGGGCTGGGAGCGGTCGGGGGGGTAACCACGTGCTCGGAGGGGAAGTGAGGGCGCCTCTGGCCAGGGCAGCACACAGGGCCGCCGGCCGCTGTCTCCGCGCTCCCCGCCGTCACTCCAGGTTCTTGTACTTGGTGAACAGGTTGTAAAGCACCCGCAGAGTAGATTTGAGGTCCAGGTTCACCACATCTGCAGAAGGAAACAGAGATGCTGTTGGCGGGATGAGGGCAGCCCGCGCCCTGGTGCCGACCCTCGGGAGACAGGGGCGACGTCTGCCGTGTCCACAGCAGGGTGGTTCGGTTTAAAGAATGACGGCCACACACCCAGCACGCTCTGGCAGTGCCACCCCCGGGCCACCACCCACGGGAGGAGCACCTGGGATGGCCAGGACAAGGCTGCTCCTTCATCCCGTCTGGGATTTGCATCGGGACAAGTCCGGGGACCGACACTGTCTGCGTGGTGTGGGGTCTACGACAGTCAGGGACATTTACTGGGGGCCAAACACCCACAAGCCAACCTGTGCAGGGCTGATGACCCACAGCCTGGCCGGGCCTCCTGGGCAGGGCAGGGTGAGAGCTGCTGCTCCGTGCTGCCCCCTCAAGGTCGGGCACCAGCTACTCGGTGCGGCCCACAGCAGGACATTCACGGGACCCGACAGCTCCCTCAGGGCCCCCTAAGTCCAGGCTGCCTTTTTTGGTGGGAAGGGGACCTGTCCTCCTGGGAGTCGGGCCCCCAGGTCTTCTCACTTGCCCTGTGACCTCAGACAAGTGAGTTCCCTGCTCTGCGCCTCAGTCTCTTCATCCGTAAAATGGGCCTGTTGGACCAGCTGATGCTAAAGGCCCTTTGAGCTCTGACTCCCTGGGGTTCAAAGGCGGCCACAGGATGATCACCTCACTTTCCCCCTTCAGGTAATTAATCACAGAGCAAGAACTGGCATCTCTTAGGGAGGAACGCGGGCTGAGTGGCTGCCATGAATCAGCAGCTGTCTTTATAACCGCTCCACGTTCCTCAGCTTGTCGGGCGGGCAAGAAGCAGAGAGCTGGCACAAAGCTCTCTTCTGCCTCCCTATTTTGCAATGGAGGAGACCAAGGCTCACAGAGGAGAAATGGCTGGCCCACCAGCTCACCATCAGAGGCAAAATCAAGTTGGCGGGCTCACGCACACACCCAGGGCTCTCAGGGGTTCCCAGGGGCTCCCCGGCCTGAGGTGTGGGCCCCAGCTCCCGGGCAGGCCAACACAGCAGTGGGAGGCAGAGGTCAGAGCAACCGAGCTGGAGGCGGCAAACAGACCTCGTACCCTCTGCGGATGGGCAGGTCTGCAGGGGCTGAGCCAGGCCTGCCCCTGGTCCCCAGACTCCCAGCTCTGGCAATCACCTCCGTTCCCTGGAGGACGGGCCTGGGAGAGACTCTAGTGGAGGTCCCCTGACACCTGCCCTGCAGGAGGGCCCTCCGCTGGGAGACAGCTGGGCAGGTAACTCGAAGGTCATGGAGCTCAGTGCCAGAGCCAGATGGCAGGCAGGGGTTTGGGGAGCACAGAGGGGCACCCAGGGCATGTGGGGAGGGACTGAGGTTCACGGGTTACAGGATGGAATTCCTGCCCCTGGATGGGCCTGAAACGGTGGCCGCTGAGCCTCCCAGGTTGTGTGTGTGGAGGGTAATAGAGACATCCCGCCCGGAATTCATGCTGTCGCTGTAGGGCAGTGATTCTCAAAGAGGGGTCCCTGGACCAGAAGCATCAGCATCACCAGGAAACTTGTTAGAAACAGGAATTGTCGTCCCATCCCACAGCCTCTGAAGCAGAGTCTGTGCTTTAAGAAGCCCTCCGGGGACCCTGGTGCTCATCCCGGCTAGAGATCCTGATGTAGATCGTCTAACACGGGAGCCAGGTAGGGATGGTGAAGTGGCCCCTCGCCCCCGCTCCCTGGCCTCCTCACTGTCGCTCAGACCCACAGGGGCACGAACGTGCCGTGTCCCTGCTCGCGAGCATCGCCCTTCACTGGGCATCAGGGACATCAGCCCGACAGTCATTAAATTGCAAGAAGCCTTTACTATCCTTTCAAGGCACGAAACAGCATCTCCTGCCTGAGCGCTGGCACCTGGAGAGGAACTTAATCCTGAGGCCGCGGGCAGAGGCCACATCCTCCAAGTCAACTGGTTACTAAAGAACTGGCATTGTGGCTCTGCCAGCATGGTCTTCCTGGTCCCCGAAACCAGGAGCACAGGGGCGGGGGGCACAGGGAGCTGGGGCACGGGGAGCTGGAGTCGGCAGAGCCCGGCCTGCAAGCCGCACAGTCGGGGCCTAATCGAGAGAGACACGTCGGCCTTCCAGCCACTTCTAAGACCTGTCTTACTTCCCTTCCGTGCCCCTGACTCTTCCCGAGGGCACCTGGGCAGGGCATTACCTTCAGGGCGAGCCTTGGGTTTCTTGAGCCCTCCATCCAGCATCAGCTCGAAGGCAAACGCCACATTGTGGACCTGCCAAGGAAGCAAGAGTGAGCGCCGGGGCCCGCAGCTGTTCCCAGGCCGGCCCGCCGCGCACTGCTCTCCTTCTGCAAGGACGGGATGGGAGCAAGTGTGGACAGAATGAGCCTCTGGAATTACTATATCCACAGGAGCCGGCGCACCCAGGGCAGGGCCTGGGGTGGGCAGAGGGAGGGCGAAGACGTCTGCTGAGGGCATCACACATTCACTAGATGGTCCTCACCCCCTCCCCAGTGATCTGGGGGTGGCTGGGAGAGGCGGGGCTGAAGGCACAAAGCCTGACCTAGAGGGCTCAGTCCCCAAGTACCCTCCCTGCCCCCGGCCCTGGCACAGCCACACGATGAGAAGTGACAGTGACCCATTTTACAGATGAGGAAACTGAGGCTCAAAGAGGATGAGTCACCTCCCAAAGGCACCCAGCCCTGTGCACCATCCCCACCACAGAGCTGCTGGAAGGGCCTCAAAGAGCTGAGTGTGCAAGCCGTGTTCTCGGCAGGACACGGTGCTCCGGGGGCAGAGGCGGCCTGGGCACCGGGCAGGCACCGTGGACCCTGCTGGCACTGAAGTCAGACCCCTGGTGGCTGCAAGTGTCAGGCAGCAGGTCCGTGGTCCCAGCCCTCGAACTGCTAGATGCCACAGAAAGGCAGACACCTCCCTGCCCCACACGACTTCTCCCTGAAATGAAAGGGTCTGGTACACTCGGCCCACAAGGATGCTTGAGGCTTGTGCTCTGCTAATGACCGCCAAAGAGGTCTCACATAAAGCCTTCTCTGTGCGTTTCAAGTCCATCTGAATCACAGGGAGGCAGGGCGATCAGCCAAATCACAGCCAGCAGGCATCTGCTGCCAGCAAAGGCTGTCGGGGGTGGGCTGGGGGGGCACAAAAATAAAATAAATAATCAGAGATGTCAGAGCTAGAAAGGACCCTAGGGCTCTTAGTAATCCAATGCCCTTCAAACAATAATATTTTCATGACTTCAGTGTAAATGAATCAGAAACATGATCATTTTACTTGCGATGCAGTTTAACAATTAACCAGGAAAAAGACGTTTGACAAAACAACCCTCAGTTAGTGAAACCCACTACAGCTTGGGTACTGTGGAGAAGCTTCCAGGGCCCACAGCGGCCCCGGGCAGGGGCGCTCGGAGAAGCAAAGGAGGCAACCGTCTGCCAGGCAGCAACCAGGAGCACAGGGGCGATAGACCACTGTGGGGACAAGCCATGCACACCCAGGGCTGGGCGGGGCTGCAAATGACCAGATGAGGCCACCTTGGAAAATACCAAATGGGAACACGAGGCAGGGAGTCAGCTACCCAGCCCGGAGTGGGCCTGAAGGAAGGGCCATGGGGAGGGCTGCACCTGGGCTGGGCCTAGGAGGTGGGACCAACACAGGAAACGGAGAGGATGGTCTGTAATCTCCCCCTTTACAGAGGAGGCCCCAGGGCTGAGACGGGTCAGGATGTCTGTGCCAAGCAAGGTGCGGGGCTCGAAGAGACGGCACCAGGATTCAACCCACTCACGTCTGGATCCTGTCCCTTTCTCCAAGAGCATCCGCCTCCCCAGCCGACAGCTGACCGCCTTCCAGGTCACCTAACTCACACGCACACAACAGGCTCTGAGTCAAGATGGAGACAGGACGGCAAGGAGGGAGAAACAGGAAGAAGACTCAGGTTGAGAAGACCTTCCCGACGTAAAACTCGATCAGCCCAACCTGGGGAGAATTCTCAGTGCCTCCAGGCCTCAAAGATCCCCCCCTGGCACAGACAGGGCATCAGCGGGAGGAATGTCTGTGTTTGACACACAGCGAGATTGCGCCCGAGACCCTCAGAGGAGAGATAGTTCCTCGAAACAGCTCGGTGCTGAGCGTGGTCAAGTTCACGAAACCCCACCCTTGCTCTGGTGCAGAGAACAGCTCGGGGGGTCACTCCCTTCCAAGCCCCACTTCTCTGCAGCACTCAACACTGACGGGTTTCGAAGCAAGATTTCCCTTCTGCTTCTTCTCAGTCTGAGGAAGCTGCCAGACAGGAAATTACCACCACCCTCCGACTGTTATCCCTCAGGGTCATGCAGTTGCCCCCATAACGTTTCATGCACTAGCAGAGAAGCTTCTCCTGAGCCCGGGCCCCCCGACAGATTAGACAGAACAGCAAACAGCTCCTGATGAGGCTTTGGGACCACGCTCCCTGACCATGACCATTGAGTGTGACCTCCAGGTCTGTGGGGACCAGGCCACACACCGTGCCCCAGAGCCCCACGCTGCCACTGGCAGCCAGACACACAGGCAGGACACCAGAAGTCCTTTTTCTCCGCAATTCAAAGGATTTTTGAAAACCTGGCCAGGTGACAGAATAGAGGGTTCCGGAAAAGCAGTGGGCTCTTCTGGCTCTGCCCTGCTGACTCTGACCTTGGGCTGTCTCTCAGCCTCCTGAGATTCCGTTTCCTCGTCGGGGAGAGGGAATCATGAGGGGAGAGAGGGGAAGGCACCCTGACACTGCAAAGTCCTTTGTGGTATTTGCTTCTAGGAACAACCTCCAAGTCTCCAGGACACGGTCCACTCCACAGAGAGAGGGACGCTGTGGAATCTTCCAGAAAGATGATTGACAGGCACAAGTACTCAGCAAAGTGGCCAGCACAGAGTAAGACTCAAACGGTGGCTCTAAAACAAGAAGCCGTGGGTGGTGCCTGTGCCTCTGAGATAGTTCAAAGGGCACCGTTCATTTGATGGAAGGAACCTACGGGTCTGAGCTCTCCAGTCTCATTTTCTTAAATCCCACGCAATTGTTTAAAAACACAAGCCCAAGATGCCTCTCCGATTTTGCTCACTGAACCTTAGTCTCCTCCTCCAGGAAATGCAGAGCTGCTGCAAAGATTCCCGGTGCCAGAGCAAAGGCGCCTCGCAGAGTTTGGGCCCCAGGAAATGCTGAGCGAGTGGTCCCTCTGTGCCGTGTCACCACCACCCTGCCACATCTGCACACAGTGCCTGAGAGCTCGCGTTCAGGTCTACACAGTGGAGAAACACCACCAGCTGCCCTTGTAGCCGCCACCAGAGATTCCCCTTCACGAGGGTGGATGGACCAACAGTGTGCTGGACGCTGTCCCCCAGAACAGCCCTCCCTTCATGGCTCCCATGCAGAGGTGAAGGCGGGTTGAACAGCCTCACCCCTCCCAGGCCAGGGCAGCGACTGAAGAAGACTCACGCCCGTCTCAAAGGGAAGAAGGCCGGGGCCAGGGAGATGGCGCCCCTGCCATGTGCACACAGCCTCGTCTCAGAACGAAACCCAGCTCCAGAAGGGCTAAATTCACCCTTCTCGCCAGTTCTTATTAACTTGAACAAAGAAAAGATCTCTCCAAAACAATGCCTCTGCAGCCAGCCACGTCGGGCCTGGAGCTGCACAAGCCTCTTCACCAGACTGTCTTCTTCTCGTTTCCAGAAGGAGAGCACAGGCACCCTCGTGTCCTGACCGGCCCCACGCAGCCTCGCTCCTTCCTCTGCTCGCGCTTGCTCGCACTCGCCACTCACCATGGACGCCGGCGGGCCAGGACCTCTCTAATCTGCTCGGATTCTGTCTCAGCAGGCCAGACGGGGACGACATTTGGCCACAAGCAAACAGCCTGCCGGGTGCCAGAAGTGGGCAGACTGATAAACATTGGCCCCGTTTCCGGATGGTTCTCTGGCTGCCACCTCCTGCCTGCATTGTCTGCCTCTCTGACTCGTGGGTCTAGCACTTTGGGAAAATAAAACCACAGGCACCCGTGAGTCCACAGCAGCACGGACAGTCCATACGCCAAGTTTCTAAAGGCGACGCACTAAATACGGCCGGGACGGCTTAACTCCGGGAAGCCCTGGGCAGAGACGAGCCCAGTCACAAAGGTGGTGGCAGTGAAACCATCAACCCACATTTAAAGGTCAAGCCCTTTGACCCAAACAATCCCATTTGAGGAATTTTCCTAGAAAACAATCCATAGAAATGAAAAGTATACATATTCAAGAAGCTGTCCTATTGTTTTTTTAATAGGAAAAAAAATAGAAACGAGTTGATTGCCCCAGAACAGGAAGAGGGCGACACCGGGGCCAGAGCCTCCCCATGGACTCTGTGAACATGGCATTTGGGAAACTCGTGAAGCAGCAAAGAAAACCAGACGTGCCGTCCACGTGGCATCGACAGGGGAAGGATCTGCAATCCTACTCACATTTGACCACAATTATTAAAAGCAATACTGTCCCAGGGAAAGACCCCGCAGAGAACCCAGCACACAACCCTTGGACATGTCAGGTACTGCCGACAGGTTGTTTTTTTTTTTTACTGAAGGTTATGTCTAATTGCAATACCATTTCTTGGGCAGTTTTCATTTTTTGAAGACTGCAGCTAGACCCCAGAAAGAGGGGTTGGGGAGTATCCTACGCCGTGCGCGCCCATGAGCACGTCTGGGGCTCTCAGAGGATGGAGACCACGCACGTACCTTCTGATCGAAGCTCTCAGGGGTCAGGTAGAAGTTGTGCAGGGGGACGAAGTAGTCTTCCAGGAGGCCCATGAGCAGGACCAGGTACACACCATCTGCAAACTATAGAGAAACACTCGTGACATTCCTGGGCCTCGCACAGAGCAGGCGAATGCTCTGCATCCACTCAAAAGGGGCAAATGTTTTGAGGTGAAATAACCCGTCCTTCGTTCAGGCACGAGAACAGCAATCAGGCGAAGGGCCCGGTGCAGAGCGCCGTGCTCGGGACCCGATGTGACTAAGTGCGTGTCTGGAGCTGGGGCGCAGCCGCATGGACAGGACCACAGCCCTGGGACCAGACACAAGGCCTGTCCCCCCACTACTGACCTTGGGGTAACACTGGCTCCCATCTCTCAGGGTTGGTGTGAGGATCCAGCGAGAGGGTGGGCAGGGAGCACCGAGCACACAGTGAGCGCTCCATTGGTGTCAGCTGCTGGCATGACTAACCCATAACTGGAGGGTGCCCTATGCCTGGGTTTGGGGTTTGCTTGCTCACTTTGTCAGCTGCCTGAGTGCCTTCCTCTAGCTGTGCTCTTGGTGAAGGACAAGACTTCCCTGTGCTCCAGCCTTGGTGACATGAGCCTTTGGGTGTACCCCACACGTAGTGTCCATCTCGGCCGGCACCGGCGGAAAGCCCTGCAGACTGCAGCCCCAGCCCAGCACCGCCTCCCACCCACGGAGGGCGACCTAGGATCTAGAACAAAAGACTCTGCTCTTTGGCAGACAGCACCCCTCCCCCCAGCCGAGTAAGCCAGGCCAGGGAGCAATCACCCTTTTAGAGATAAAGCAGTGAGGACCAGCGAGGGCAGAACAACTCGCCCGAGGGGAAGAGAGAACCAAGGGTCAGGAGGCACCACCCCGCCTCGAGGGCACGGACCAGCTGAGGGAAGGCAGGCCTCGCCCACCCTCACAGGGGACAGCGATGGCGTCTCTGAGGGGCCGAGACCGACCGGCTTGGTCCCCCGCAGAGCGTGTACGTGTGAGGTCCCCAGCCTGCAGATGTCTGGAGCTGTGCTGTCCACTACGGTAGCCACTGGCACGTGCACCCACAGAAATTAAAATCTTCTTTGTTTGAATGTTGCTGACTTACTCTTTTTAAGTGCAGAAAAATATACATAATGTGAAATTTACCATTTTAACCATTTTTAAGTATATATACAGTTCAGCGGCATTAAGTCCTTTCACACTGTTGTACAACCATCACTCCATCCATCTCCAGGACATTTTCATCTTGCAAAACGGAAACTCCAGGCCCATCACACACTAACTCCCTCCGATCCTCCAGCCCCAGCACCCACCATCCTGCTTGCTGCCTCTGTGAATTTGACTCCTCTAGGAATCTCATGTAAGAGAAACCACACAATATCTGTCCTTTTGCGACGGGCTTATGCTTTTTTTTTAAAGTTTAATTGTGATAAATTTTATGTTGTGTATATTTTACCATATTAACCATTTTTAAGTGTACAGTTCAGTCTTGCTAAGTACATTCACCCTACTGTGCAACCAATCTCTAGAACTCTGAAATTTTAAATTTTTTTTAATTAATTAAAACATAGAATTCAGCTCCTGAGTCACACCGGCCACATTTCAAGTGCTCGACAGCCACACGTGGCCAGTGGCTACTATACCCGACGGTGCAGAGACAGAACATTTCCATCATTAAAGAAAGTTCTATTGGTCAGCACTGGCCTAGACAACTGTCATGCAGGACAAGTAGACGGCTGTGAGGAGCTGGACACCCAGGAGGCCTTCAGCTTTATCAACTTGAAATGAGTCAAATGAGAACTTGCAGAAGGGAGGATGTTTTTATTTAAAACCAACGACAGCTCCCTGCACCATCCTGGGCAGGCCGCCAAGGCCCCCAACTTGAAGATCAAAATCACCAACATCCACTACCAGGAAACCTGTCCTTCGGAGGGAGAAGTGGAAGCTAAGAGACCAGCTCAGGGCAGAGGGACGTGATCAGCAACGGGGGAACGGGCACGGTCCTTCCAGAGGCGAGCATTCCGGGGGCCGGTTCAAAGCGATCTGACTGATAAATGACCCTTTGCCTGAGTGTCACAAGTCTCCTGCTTCCACACCGTGAAGAAATCGCTTACTCATCTCCTTAAGGAGATCAGAAGGGTTTTTTTTTTTTTAAAAACGTCCGTGCACCTCGATGCCACAGCTTCTGCCGACAGCGCTCTGCTGAAGGCGCTGGCAGCTTCCCCCAGCGACACCAAGCCAGCACGCCCCAAGACGCCGGCCCTCTCCTCAGCACTGACCCACTTCCAGGCAAACAGAAGCTGTCTGTGAAGGAAGATACCTGCCCGGGGGCGCAGGGAGCGCGTGCTGCTGCGCCCACAGCCTGGACAGGCAGGGTCCTCGCTTACTTCCACGGCATCTCCTAACCCCTGCCTGGCCCCCGAGTCCCAGGAAGCTGGGAGAGATAACCGCAGAAGGAAAGCACGGGAAGGGAAAGGGGCACCTAGGAGGTGACAGCCAGGCACGGCACGGCATGGCAGCTTATCAGCAAATGGGTGGGACCCTCTGTTTTCACATCCCCAGAGCAGGGAGCCTGAAGTGGGGTGTGCCCTAGCTCAAAAATACACCACGCATCTCTGCAGGGAATGGAAATCCCCACGGACACCCCAAGATACCATCATCGCTGTCTTCGTGTCTTCATCATCACTACCAACCTTTCAAGTGCATTATCTCCATTAGCCTCACGGTATCTACTGTCTGCAGTTGAAACTTATGGAGAGAAGCTCAGAGAGGCTGAGTAACGGGCTCAATATCACAGAGCTAGGAAGCAGCCCACAATAGAAAAGTGGCTTTAGGGCCGGCCCTGTGGCTTAGCGGTTAAGTGCGCGCGCTCTGCTGCTGGCGGCCCGGGTTCGGATCCCGGGCGCGCACCGAGGCACCGCTTCTCCGGCCATGCTGAGGCCGCGTCCCACATACAGCAACTAGAAGGATGTGCAACTATGACGTACAACTATCTACTGGGGCTTTGGCGGGGGGGGAAGGAGGAGGATTGGCAATAGATGTTAGCTCAGAGCTGGTCTTCTTCAGCAAAAAGGAAGATTAGCATGGATATTAGCTCAGGGCTGATCTTTCTCACAAAAAAAAAAAAAGGAAAAGTGGCTTTAAAACGGACGGGGAAACACACACATACACACACACGCACACCCTGAGCAGGAATTTGAACCTGTCTCTCTGACTCCCGGGGCATCCAGACTTTAATGATGAACGTATTTATGAAAGTATTCAGATTCTTTTCCAATAAAAGAGAAAAGTTCTTGGCATCTCTGTGGCCAGCGATCTTTCCTGGTGGACCAGTGGTTAAAAATATTTTTAAAATATTACTTTATACAGTGTGGTGACAGAAAAAAAATGGAGATATTGAGCAAATAAAGATCAATGAAAATTTAAGTTTAGAATCTTAGTCTAAGATGTCTGGCTACTAATATTGGCGTGCAGGCCCATCCGGGCAGTGACAGTCGGGAACCACTGACAAGGGTGTGGGAAAAGGAGTTCTCACCATTGCCGATGAGAGTTTTAGGTGGTCAAACCTCCCTGGGCCCTAGTGTTACCACCTCTGGTCTAACGATTCCATTTCTAGGAGTTTGTCCTGAGGAAACAGACGAGGGCACACAAGGCTGTATGCAAAGATGCTCACTGTACTGCTATTTGCAAGAGCAGGAAACGCCCCATTGTAAGGGACTGGTTTAATGAAGTGCAGCAAAGACTTAGAAGGGAATAGAAGGCAGCTATTAAAGATGACGAATATAAACAGACCAGGCAACAGAGAAAAGATTCGACAGAAACACAGGCACTCACATAAAAAGATGCCCATAATAGATTTAGTAACAAAACACACATGACAAACAGCTACACAGTACAGTATGCTCCACTGTCATCTAAAAAATACATTTATGGGGCCAGCCTGGTGGCATAGCAGTTAAGCTCACATGTTCTGCTTCAGTGGCCCGGGGTTCACTGGTTCAGATCCTGGGCACGGACCTACTCACCGCTCATCAAGCTATGCTGAGGCGGCATCCCACATAGAAGAATTAGAAGGACCTACAACTAGAATATACAACATGTACTGGGGCTTAGGGGAGAAAAAAGAAAAAAGAGGAAGATTGGCAACAGATGTTAGCTCAGGGCCAATCTTCCTCAAAAAAAAAAAATCTATGCATATAAAATATCTAGAAAAATACACATCCTACCATTAACTGTAGTTGGTTACCTCTGGAGAGGATGATGGGGAGGGAGAAAGGAGGATTTTGGCTTTTCAATTAGGCTACTTCTGGACTGCTAATATACCAAACAGCAAATAATCAGAGGCTGAGTGCACAATATTAGTGAACTGCTAACAATAATGAATGTATTTGCAAACAATGCACAAATAAATATACCCATTAAAGACGGACCGTTCGGCTTTCAAATACAGACCCACGCTGTCCACGATTAGCTCGCCACGTAGAGAAAGCGTCTGGAACAAAAACCCTCAGCGCAGTTATCTCTGGTGATGGGATTACGAATCATTTTTATTTGTTTTACTTATCTGCATTTTCAGACATTTCTACAATGAACCTGAATTACTTTTTTAATTAGAAAAGCAAATGAGAAAAGTTAAAGAAAGAGAAAGGAACGGATGCAATCACCCGGGGGTTTAAGAAGGATCAGCTGTGCGTTAGAGAAATCTGCACCAAGAACTCAAAAGACTCCAGATTCCAGCACCCAGCTAATCCTGGGAAAATTATATTTTGTCTTTAATCCTGCCGAGTGCTCAAAACATATTTTTTCACGAAGCTACTTTAGCTCTGAGTAGGGGTGGGGGAATATGCTTTACATACTTACTGTGCGTATTCATCAGAGGGATATTTAACGGGCATTAGCTCAGGGCCAGCCACAGCACCAAGTGGGAGAACAGCGACGGAGAGAGGCAGAGGGGGTAGAACATTCTAGAACATCTAGACTGAGGGACCTGCACATGCAGAGGCCCTTTGGTGGGGCTGGTGTGGCACCTTGGAGTGTGTTAGGAGTTAAATTGTGTCCCCCAAAAAAGATGTGTTGGAGTCCTAACCCCAGCACTTGTGAGTGCGACCTTATTTGGAAATAGGGTCTTCACTGAAGTGATCAGGTTAAGATGAGGTCAGTAGGGTGGGCCCTAACCCACATGACTGCCATTTTTACAAAGAGGGGAGATGTGGACACAGACATGCACACGGGAGAACATCATATGAGGATGAAGGCAGAGATCGGAGTGATGCATCTACAAGCCAGTGACACCAAAGATCCCAGGAAACCACCAGAAGCTGGGGAAGGTCTGGCACAGATCCCCCCTCTCAGCCTCAGAAGGAACCAGCCCTGCCAACACCTTATCTGGGACTTCCGGCCTCCAGAACTGTGAGGACATCAATTTCTGTTGTGGAGGCCAGTCAGTTTGTGGTCCGTTGTTCCGCCGGCCCCAGGAAACCAGGACAGGGGGTCTGAGGGAAGGCCGGAGCGGCTGGACTGGAGCTGTTTCGGGGGTAGGATGGGCATCCTTGTTACACCAACAAGACGGCGCCTGCTTTGCTCGCACGCCCGCCTGGGATCAGAAGGCTGGCTGACGACACAGGACGAAGGACCTGTCAACCCAGAGCCCCGCCTACCTGCGTCTCCAGTTCCGTCACCTCCAGATTCAGCTTGTTCAGATGCTTGTTCACAAACGTGATGAGAGACTGTCAAGGCAAAGAGACACGGACCACATGAGTGAGGGATTCGGCCCCCAGCTGCTGGGAGGGAGTCGACAACTGCCATCAGGGACTGTGTGAAACGCTTCCAGAATCTCCTGTCTGCTAAAATAAAAGCCTCCTGTTTAAAATGAAACGTTCTGACAGTAACCCTTCGTTTTAATGGGATAATGCCTAAATCTACTCCAGCTGGAGAAGAAAACACATCTCCATTCACCAACCCATGTGCACACGTGCTTATTCACACATGGGTACCGTATTTAACAATCCTACAGAAGAATGATCAGTGCCCTTAAGGACAAAACTGTCGGGAAGACAATTAAATTTTTAAATGTATCCTAGATGTAACCTTGAACGACAAAGGCTGCCTCGGGCCACACCCGTCACAGTTCCAGTAAATGGAGAGATTCCACGCAGGGCTTTCTCTCAGGGAAGCTGGGGTTTTCTGAGCCCTGTTACGTACACAGCAAAAGCCACTGGCTTCTCCTCTCGAGCAAAAGTTTAAAACTTGTCACCTGTAGCTTTTCCCAGCGATCAAACCCAACTTCAATGGAAACTCACTACCAGCCCCAGCCCTCCCTACCCCTGGACATGCTGTCACTTCCTTGTTCATTCTACCCAAATTTAGGGAGCAGCTGCTATCTATGAGCCAGGCACCCTGCTTGGTGCTGGAGCCATGAAGACGGTAGGACAGAGCCCCAGCCTGGAGAGCCTGCGGCATAATTCTCCATACACACACCTAGTGGAGGCGGCAGAGAAATCAAGAGATACAGTGAAGCATGTGAAACGTGGAACAGAGGGAGGTTTGATGAGTGCACAAGGGGAGGTGTGCGGGCCCCTGGAAGATGTCGAGGGAGGGAGCGTTTGAGCTGGCCCTGGGGGTGGGCCAAGTGGGAGATGGGCAGGGGGGGAAGCGGCCAGAGAGGCACCCAGGCCACGTACATGTGTATGATCCCTTTGGGATCTTCCAGCTGTGGCTGGGTGTGGGTGGGGAGGGAGAGAGTAGGAGGGGTGACCCAGGAGAGACCTGGAGAGGTGGTGGGCAGGGGCCCCCTTTTCTTCTGGGGTCTGGGGAGCCACTAACACAGCAACTCTCAATGTGGGGTGGGGAAGGGCCAGGCTGGAAGCAGGACGCTGTCAGGCAAACAGAAGGACTGTGTCCTGTTCATTGCTGGGGTCCCCAGTCCCAAAATACGTTTTTTCAAAGAATGAATTAACATCATATCCACTGAAAGACAAAAGCTAACCTTACGCCATCATATTCAACACTCTCTGGTGACCACGTGCTGCGTGCTGGGCCTTTGCACAGACGTGACTGCATTTTACTCTCACAGCATCCCTGAGAGGTGGGGACTGCCTCTGTCCCTCCTTGACAGATGGGGAAACTGAGGCAGTGGTTATAATCTGCCTCAGGTCACACAGCTGGTAAGTGGGAAGCAGGATTTGAATCTCCTTGTGCATCCACCAAACGGGTTCTGTCAGGGTCCCTGGGGGCCAGATGTGGCCGGGGTGGGGGTGGAGGACAGGGCTTTGATGCTTTGATGCTCCAGGGTGTCACTCATGACCAAGGATGCTAAGAAGGCTCTGCCCCAGAGGGACCATTGGGATGGTTCCACCGGCCCTTTGCAACGTGCCTCCAAGAACTAACAATCTCATTGTCCCAGCCTGGACCAGCATCTTCCAAATGCAGGGTCTATGGGAATTCAATGTATTCCAACCCAAAATAGATAAACAAATCAATCTCATTATCGACAAACAAGTTTGGAAAACGCTTCCTACTAAGCCCCCTCTTGGAGAATTACAACGCGTGTCTGAATCTTAACGGCTCTGAGAAGTCCTGCGTTATGAAACCTGTATGGGAAAATTATCTTAGACAGAGAACTCTCTCCCCCAGGTCACGGGCAGAAATGATCGCTCCTCCGATTCTACAGGAGGGTGGGAAGCACACCCATCCCACCGCTGCCTCCCCAAATGGGAGGCCTGCAGGCACTCAGATAAACTCGATGTGCAGTGAGGGAAGGCTCAATTCCCTCTGGGGGGCAATAAGCCTTTCCGGCAGATCCCCCTGGAAGCTCATCACTCCCCAGCCCCTGACTCAAGAGCTTCGGGTGCACACGGGTTTTTCCATCCATAGATTAGCCAGCAGGCCGCCTGGGCCGCGATGAAGAGCTGGCTTTTGTGCTCCTGTCTGGAGGGGAAATGGTCCAAATGCACGCACGGAACAGCTCTGCTGGCAAAGCCCTGTTTGCCGGGCAGGTCGTGAATGCGCTTCGTGGTGATGAGGCCGGCAGGAGCCAGCAGGCTGACACGCTTAAAAACATTTCCACATTAAAAAAAAAGACCTTCAGTGGGAATGAACCGCCATGCGCGCGCTGGCTGGCTAATTCACTCAACGGGAGCGGGCGGGCGGGCTGGCGGATACCCAGGGAGCGGAGATGTCGAGTTAAAAGGTGCTAATTTTATGCACTGCAGTTATGTTTTTGACTATAATTACACTTCAATCCAGGTGGCAAACATTTCAGAGATTTTAAACATCTCCCACCTTCTTCCCAGCACGGAGTTCAGGCTGTGAAAAAGCCCGGAGACGAGGGACACACAATCCGATCGAGCGCTTACCTTCTTCACCACGCTGAGCTTGTCTGGGGCGTGGTCGAAGAGGGTGTCGAAGGCGTCCCGTTCTGCGTGGACACGGGGAGACACGGGGAGAAAGAGGGGTTTATGGAGACACACGGTGCGGCTCTAGTCCCCGCCCATCCCGAGGAGGAGGCAGCTTCTGCTCCCTCGGGATGCTCAGCCCTCCTGGAATCCTTTTAATTCCTGCCAGAACCCGAAGGGCGGGCGCTGACGAGGAGCCAAACCAGGAAAGGAGGCTTCTAGACTCCTTCTAACTCAGCTTCTATCTTTTAACGGGAAATACAGGGGTAGCACACGGACAGCTGCCCCAGCGCATCCTAGGACTCGAAGTGTCCCTGCCTCTCCATCTTCCGCGCTCCCTATCCACAAGCGGATCTTGTCGGTATACCCGACCACCTCTCTCGCCCGTCACGGCTGCAGCCCCCATTCAGGCCCCATCGCCCCTCACCTGGGGGCAGCTACAGCCTCCTGCTTAATCCGTCTCCCTCCTCCACTCCCGGCCCCTCCGATCCATTCTCCCTAGCAGGCAAAGTGAGCCCTTTAAAGTGTAAACTGGATCATTTCTTCCCCCCTCCCCATCCCTGCCCTGACTAAAACTCTCGGACAGCTTCTCATCATTCAGAACAAAATGTATTCTCTCTCCCGGGGGGATCCAACGGGCTCAGAGTGATCCGCCAACACCCTCACTCTCCCTGACTTCCCCCCACCAACCAGCTTCCCAGCTGCTCCTTCACCACACGCTCACCACAGGGGCTTTGCACCTGCTGTTCACCGGCCTCACTTCCTTCAGGTTGCTATCAGATGTCACCTCCTCTGAGGGGCCTTCCATGACCATCCCCGTCTCAAAGAGCAACCCACCCGCTCCCACTCTGTCTTCTTATCCTGGTGCACTTTTCATAGCACTTAATCACTACTCGAGTATTTTGTGTGTATATGATTTTGTGTGTATATGCCTGCTGTGTATTATCTGCTGGGGTGTCAGCTCCTCCAGGCCTGAGACCGCTGTCTCCCTTGATCCCTGCACCGTCTCTGGCTCCCAGAGCAGTGAAGGGTCCACGGCTCGTGCTCAGAATGAATGAACGAACTAGAAGACCCTGTGCCAGAATCTCTACAGCAATTCTCTCGGGAGTGTCCGCCTCTGTGGGAACACCCGCAGCCCGTTCCCGCCGTGTCCCATCCGTCTTCCTCTCCCAGGCGAGCCCTAACCCGCTCTAACTGCCACTCCTGGGCCCCACCGTGCCCTCCAAATTAACACAGAATCAATCTTTTCCCTCTCCAACGAGGGGCCCCCCGGAGGCCAAGTCAACACGGCTCTCGGTGGACAAGAACGGAGCAGGGCTGGGGGGCCTGGCGCCTGGTTCTAGCCTGATGCTGCCGTGGCCACATGGAGGCAGGACAGAGCCTGCTGCAGCCTGGACCCCAGGCAGGAGGGCTGAGGCTGCCAGGGTGGACACAGGGCTGTGGGGAGTCGCTGCCAGGGCAGAGGGGAGGGGAGGAGGGCACCTGGAAGGTCCTGGGCCCCGACTCCTGTCCTCAAGGAGCCACTCACGCCCCCAAGATTCCCAGGGGCAGTGTATGACCCTGGCCAGCAGAGACGGCTTGTGCCAACCCCCAACGTGGAGCCCTGGGGGGCTGGGGAGCCCAGTCAGATGTGGGGAGATGGGGGTAGGATGTCTCCTCCACTTGTCTGGAGATGGCCGGGAACCCACAACCAGAGCCGACCAAGGGGCTGCTTCAGGACAGCCAGGCCTGACCCAGGGAGGAGGAGGGAGGCAGCAACGAGAAAGAAGGCAGGACCCCTCCTCGCTGGCCCGCCTGGTCCCGAAAGGAAGGTTCTCCGGGTTCACTGACAGGGCCCCAGAGGCAGCTCACACCCTCAGCCCAGCCCAGCCCAGCCCAGGTAGCCTCCTCCTTGGCCCTGGTGGTGGGGGAGGGAAGGAAGGTGAGAGGCAGAGAGGAAGCGAGAGGAGGACTGGGTGTGCGTGTGTGTGTGTGTACATACAAGTGCACATGCGGGGCGGGGGGGGGGGGGCGTGTGTGTGTGTGTGTGTGTCTGGGGGGAGGGCCGCCCCACTTCATTCACCTGAAGTCCACCAGGGACCCAAAAGCCCAGCCCGTGGAATACCCTTCTCCAGCCTTTCTACCGCGGCAGCTGTAAATTGTTTTTATAGTCATCTAAGAGCGCTCTCGATGAGACAGTCTGCTACAGGAAAAAAGCTAAATCTTTACAAAGCAAAATACGAACTTGAAATGCAGCTTGAGAAGAACTCCAGGAGCAGAGGAGCGCCTGACGTCAGCGGGTATATTTAGCCAGGCCACCGCTGGGCTGCAGGCACGGGGACGGGGGCAGTGTCACCCGCCCGGGCAAGCCTTCGCCGCGCCCCTGCCGTGCCGGCCTCGGGGATGAAAACAGATCCGGGTTCAAATCCCGGCTGTGCCACTTCAAAGTCCCACAGAGTAAAAATAGTCCCCACCTCGCCGTTGGTGTAGGAATTAAAGCAACGGTGTACAGGGACGAGAGAGCGCACGGCCTGGCAGCCTGTCGTGGGCGCTCCGCGCACTAGGCGTCCTCTCTCCTGCCCCCACCCCAATCTCCCTCCCAGCTCTGGGGACGGTCCCCGAGATAACCAGGGAGCAGCCCTGCCCCGGGGAGGGGACAGGCTGGGGAAGCGGATGGGTAAACCGAGGTGGTACAAGAGGTCAGGTGACAAAAAAGGCCAGAAAGGATGCAGAAGAGGGCCGAGTGAACCAGGGCGCCAGTGTCGGCCGCGATCAGCCTTCAGAGATGGTAAGTCTAGCACGTATAAAGTTGTTTTTGTTTGAGTCTACATTTTTTAAATTGGAAGATTTGTCTAAAAGTTCTGAGTTTCCGGCTTCTCTGAAGAACCGGAAGCTGTGGCCACAGTGAGCCTACATGCCCCCTGGTGTCAACGTGCCTCCCAGGGAGTGGGGTACGGACTCTCCAGTTTGCCCCAGGCCCCACCACTCCCCACTGCCACCCCACACAGAGGCTGAGGGGCAGCTGCTGTTTGATATTCCAGCCCCTTCCCTCTTTCACGTTACCAGCCTGGTCCCTGCAGACACCCGAGTCTGCGGCCCATGGACAGAGGGCGGGCGGACGAGGAAAGCCTCACGTGCAGAGCCTTGACGTCTGAGTCAGGGCCTGATGGGGCAAGAAGAGGAGGAAGGGCATTCCAGGCAGAGGGAACAGAAAGCACAGAGAGGCACAAGAAAGTCAGAGTGGGTCCAGACACTGTGGCCTGTGAGGGGGGCTAAGTGGGGGTGGGTCCAGCAGGGTGAGGAGCCATGGAGGGTGGCGACCACGAGCGGTGTGATCCAGCTGCAGTGTTCAAACAAGCTCTGTTGGCACAAAGAGGGAGACGTGCGTGGGAGAGCCCGGGGTTATAAGGAGACCAGGAGGGGAAGAGGAGGAAAGCTTCTCCCTTCTCCCCCACGGCCAGTCGAAGCCCAGGGAGGGGGAGGCGCCGCCTGCAGAGCAGAGGCAGCCAGCAAACCCGTTGCCATGGAGACCAGGCTGCCGCTCTCCAGCTACCCTGGGGAGAGAGGGGCCTCCATTACACCTGGGCCAGGACAGTGATGCCCTGGGGGGGTGAGGGGGCAGGTAGGGGAGGCCCCTGGAGGGGGCAGGGTGGGTCCCTCCCTTCCCGGCTCAGACTGCTCATGGGAGAAACCGCAGCTGAGAACACAGCTCCCTGTGAATCCCGGCGGGCAGACATTAGCCAAGGAGGGTCTGCCTGGTATTCTGGAAGCTCCTGGAATGTCTGTGGCCCAGGGCTGGCTGCTGCAGGGGATGCAGGCTGAGGAAGACACGGTCTAGCCCACAGGACGCTTACAGTTCAAGAAATCATGTGTGAAGGGAAAGAGGGCCGGGCCAGGGTCCCTGGATTGACCCGCACCCTGCGTCTGCCAGGCACGTGGCCAGGCAGGTGGCAGAGAGGGCCTCCCTAACAAGTGATGTTTGAGTGAGTACTGGAGGAGCTGAGAGTGAGCCATGGGGGATTCTAGAGGGAGAGCATTTCGGGCTGAGGGTACTACAAGTGCAGAAGCTGGAGGGGGGGCGTCTGGGGTGCTCTCAGAGCAGCGAGGGAGCCACAGGCGGGGCCAGACATGCAGGGGGAGTGAGGAGGCCAGAGAGGAGGGCAGGGGCCTCCAGAGGGGTGGTCTGAGAGGGCCTTGGAGGCCACTGTGGCTTTAGCTTAAACCAAGGTGGAGAGGGGTGTGAGGAGAAGAGTAGGGGGCTCGGGGTGCTCGAGGAAGCCTGACCCCCACAACGTGCAGAGGAACCAACTCGAGGGGTGAGCCAGGGACCAGCGCCCAGGGAGGTAACAAAGTCTGACCTCGGTGGGGCCGTGGGGCGGTGGGGACCAATGGCTCCCCCGGGGAGAAGGGCCGGCAGCAGCCCCACGGTACCCAGGCTGCCAGGTGGGGTCAGCAGGACCTGGCAGCTGCGTCAGCAGGGGCGCTGGGGGCAGAGGTCATTGCCTGTCACCCACTAATAGCCTGTTTGCATTTCACGAGTGTGGGGCAGCCAATACAGGAGGAAGAACAACCCCACCGGCTTCTCGGGGTTCCAGGGCCCCCACCCCCGAATGCTCAACCATCTCCCGTGTTCACCAGCACGGTGGCTGAGTCCATTTTCCAAACTGCGACAACTGATCTCCCCAGGGAGTCACCACCCCGGACACGAGACCCTAAAGGCCCGCTCACACGGCTGCTGGGGGCTCCTGCCTCTGCCACCGGGTGCCGCATACAGCCCCCAGCTGAACCCATTCTCCCTGAGTTCCCCAAACCCCAGACTAGGCCCATCCCAAACACAGGAGTGACAACTCCCAGAAAACCACAGGCCACACTTAACAGTGCTCCAAGGGCCCCACTCTCGTCACCTCTGCGCGTCCACAATCCCATGGGGGTCAGAGCCCCTCCGTGCAGAAAGGACAGGACAGAAGGGTGCACTGCACCCCCAAATGGGCCTCCACCCAGACCCAGGGTGGGGCCAGGCTGCCCACACGCAGGTCCACTCAGGGCGCCCACCTGGCCCTGTGAGCCGCACCCCCACTGCTATTCTGCGCCCTCACCAACTCCACACGGGAGGGTTCCCATTTCTCTCCTATTTTTTTTTTAATAAAAAAGACAAAAAAAAGTAGCTGAATGGCTACTTAAAAAAAAAAAAAAAAGTTTAGGGGCTGGCCCGGTGGCGCAAGCGGTTAAGTGCGCGCACTCCACTGCGGCGGCCTGGGGTTCGCCGGTTCGGATCCCGGGCATGCACCGACCCACCGCTTGTCAGGCCATGCTGTAGCGGCGTCGCATATAAAGTGGAGGAAGATGGGCACGGATGTTAGCCCAGGGCCAGTCTTCCTCGGCAAAAAAAGAGGAGGATTGGCAGATGTTAGCACAGGGCTGATCTCCTCATAAAAAAAAAAAAAATAGTGAAGACTGAATTTCCCCAGCACAGCTTAAGAAAGCTAAGCATATATAATTGCTGCATTTTCTCTCGTCCAAGACCTTTGAGAATTTAAGCGCCACCTCCCTTCTTCACACAAGCAGCAGTGTGCCATGGGTCCCCAGATAACCCTGAGGTTACAGAGCCCTGTGGCAAAGCCCGTGGACAACTCCCCCGTAGCTATAGAACCAGCTCTGGGCCCGCAGCCTTGCAAGGCATGCAGGGAAACTTCTATATGGTCCCCACTTTTCCTTCTAACAGCTCTGCCCTGCTCACTGGAGAACGTGATATTTGGGGGTCCAGGGCTTTCTGGTTTGAAAAACAGCCCCCCAAGCAGTGAGCCTGGCTCAGGCTGCCTCTGGCTGCGGGTGAGAGCTGGGGGCTTCCCATCCCTGAGGGTTTAAAGGCTGCCACAGCTGTCCCTTTATCTGCCATCCTCCCTGAGACGAAGATGGGGTCCTGAGGCTGTAGCGGGGCAGGGAACAGCTCTTTGGGAACAGCCACCAAAAACTAACAGTAACAACCACCCAACAGAAAGAGAGCCGGGCCCTGGGCCAAGCAGAGCGCACATTTACTATCTCACGCTATCCTCTCAGCAACCCCGAGGTCCCATTTCACAGATGAGGCACAGGGAGGTGAAGGAGCAGGCCAGAGGTCGCCAGTTGGGACCAGAGCCAAGGCTGCCTGACTCTAGGGAGGTCGGCCAGGCTGGAGATTTTAAGGTGGAAAAACTATAAATGAAAGTACATCCCGTAAGGAAGCTCTCTCCCGGCTGGCTAACTATGCTCTGTACTCAAGCCGACACCTCCGTCCTCCTGTGTATCCTGGTTCCACCGCCTGCTCCAGGCCCCGCCGGAGGGAGCCCGCGCCACGTCCCAGACACTTCCCCAGTCCCCTGCTTCACGCCAGCCTCCCACCACACTCTCCTTGTCACCACCCGGCCTCTCGCAGCTCTGAGAAGCAGGGCCCACGGGGGAACTGCACACTTTCTCTAAGATTCCAGAACTGCTGGGAGCAGAGAAACCCACCCACGGTCCTGCTGCCCCTGCATGACTGCGTGAACCCTGGGAGCTTCTGGGACAGCCCCAGAGCACCCCACGGCCTCAGACCCCCCATCCCCACCCCCGGGGTTACTTACCAAACCGACCCATCATCATCCTGCAAACAAGAACAGAGAGGGAGCCATGAGATGGGTCGCTCAGAGCACAGTTTAACTGTCAGCATGAGGGGGGGCACTGGAGGGAACCCAAGAGTCAGAGCCCCAAACTGCCCAGTTGAGGGGCTTTGTATAAAAATGTAAGTCACATTTTGATAAATTCTGCCCCGCTCTAATTACAGACTAGAAGTGCTCCTGGATACTAAATGCTTGCACAAGATACGCAGCAAATCACCATCTCTATTTAAACCACCCCTTTAATGCCATTTGGGGGGTATTTAAATCATGGGCTAACATGGAAAACATTCCAGCAGAAAACGGGTCTTCCGTCAGCCGCTGAATGGTGAACTTTAAAATGCAAGGGTGCAGATTACCCAAGGGTCACATTTCGGCGAGTAAGCACGATGCACATTCAGGGAATCAGGAAACTAAAGGATCCTGAAGAACCACAGGCTGGGCCCCGATTGCAAGCTGGCGAAAGCTGAACTCATGCAGGACAGAGGGCAGTTCCTCCTTGAGGACCTCAAGGGCACGAGCGCACAGTTCCTCTCCGCACGCTCCCTTCCTGAGAGGCTGGGAGATCTTCCCTTCGTCCCCCGATCCCTCTAGACTCAAGTCCTCTGGCTCCATCTTATTTAACAAACATTCTCTTGAGTACCTACTATGCGCAGGCTGTGGAGACGCAGAAATCAATACCCTATGGCCCTGTCCTCCTGACAGCCAGCGGTGAGAGAAATCCATAAGCCCCCATTTCCACCCACCCCAAAGCGGACAAGCAGGAGATGTCACGGGAACTGAAAGGAAGCCAGCCACTCCTGCTTGGCAAACAGGGAGGGCTTCCTGGAGGAGGTGACCTCAGAGCTGCCTCTAGAAAGAGAGAAATGGGAGGATGTTGAGGCTAGACGGGAGGCAGGGAGGACACCTTAAGAAACTAGAGGTGGATCATCAGTACCGCAGAAGGGCGAGCTGCGAGGGGACTGAGGTCAGATGGAGCCGGAAGGCAGGGGGGCAGCACTATGTGGTCTTTGGCAGACATCTGATGATTTAGACACTCTATCCGATCCACTGGGACACGCAGAGGGGAAGGAACAGGAGAGAGCAAACCCGGAGTCAAGGAGACTGGGCAGGAGGCTGGGCGGCCTTTCTGGAAGTCTCTCCCCACCCTGATGTGGGGCACTCCCTTCCTCCTGAAAGTCCCTTATGGCCACAGAGCACTTCCCAGGAGCTCCTGGGCTGGCTTTCTCATTTCTACAGACATGTCCGTTCTCGCCAGCTAGACCCCCAGCCCTGGAGGAGAGGAACCATGTGCGAAACACCTCTCAGCCCCTCGGTGCCCCACACGGTGCCCGGCGCAGAGTAGGCCCTCTGTGAGCTGGTCACCACTGTGAACTGTTGGGGCCATTTCCCCACCCGCCAGCTCTGACCACAGAGCTCCCAGCTCCCCCTGTGGCCCTCTCCCAGGTCCCCCTCACACCGGGGCGACTGGAAAAGACAGCCCAGCTTCTTCCCACTGCCGCACGCCCACCCACAGCCATGCGCCTGGCTGCTCCTCCCGTGGGCAGGGAACCTGTCTCCCCCCCGATCCAGGATGACACTGAGACTCTGACCCTCAGAATGCGAGGACACAGCGTGCGGGGGCTCAAGGGGCCTGCGGCTGCCCTCTCATTCTCTTGGAACCCTGAGGACACCCTGGGGGGACGCCCGGCTCAGCGAGGATGAGAGACACGTGGAGGGACAGAGGCCCATCCCCGGCCAGCACCAACCACCAGACCAGCGGAGAGCCGCCCGGCCGAGGCCGGCCCAGACCTCTGGCCCACAGGACTGTGAGCGAATAAAGCGGCTGTCGTACGGCCACTGGGCTTTGGGTGGTGTGTTACACAATAATGGATAACCGAGACACTACCCCACTCCTAATCCCTCTCACGCTGCCCTCCTCCTGCTCCTGAGCAGGCCCAGCAGGCTCCAAGGCCCCGGGCCAGGCTCAGCACCCGTCCCTCGTGCTCCCTCCCCACTCTCCCGCCCCGATTCCCCCCACGGGCTGGAACAGCCGTTCACACACATCAGCGCCTCTCCGCTTCACCTGACAGCTCCCGCGCCGGGAGTGGTTCCTGTGTCCGCCCCGATTTCTGAAAGACCATACACGGATGCATGACACAGTAATTAATCACTCCGCGACCCGAGCGGTGGGTTAGCTGAGACGATCGATTTTTAAATGTTCTGTTTCACCCGAAACAGATTTAGTCGAGAGGCACAAATGCCATGAATTTTAAAGATCCTTAACAGGGCGTCGTACAGCTCCTACAAACCCTACGCGAGATATACCATTTGATTTGCTATTTTTCGTAGATTTGAAGCCTTTTAGACTTCTTAAAAATTTCTCTCTGGCTTTCTCTAAGAGACCACAGTGCCTCAGCATTGCCAAAGGAAAGTTCTAGTTTAGACGCGTGGCTCCCTCCCTCTACGGATGGATAAATGAACCAGGACAACGGGCCCCTCTGAACACCTCCTCTGTCTCAACATTCCTAAAGGTTGCCTTCTAAAACAAGGAATGAAAAGTCCAAAGGCTTTGGAAAATAGCTCAGTTCTAACCTTACAAGCTTTGAAGAAAGTGGGTTTTTGAAGGAAAGAGAGGGCGGACGCTCGCATGAAAATCGCATCCTAGGGTTAAGGGATCTCGAGTGGAAATCGGCCCCCACGTATGTCCGGGTGCCTGGCTGAAGCAGCCTGGGGCCCGGCTCACGCAGAGGGACGGGGCAGGGCGGCAGGTCCACTTACTCTGTGGTTGTGGTCAGCTCCTCCGTGACGTGGCTGGAATGCAGCAGGCCTTCCCTCTTCTGAAACCCCAAAATGAACAAATCAATACGTACACCTCTGGGCCGGCAGAGAGGACAGGAGGAAGGACGTCACTGTGGGGGGGGTGAAGCCGGGGGCAGGTGGCCCCAGGGCCAGGAGACCACCTCAGGAACAACAAAAGAATGGAGTGATGCCCGGGTGGGTGGGCCGCACGTGACCACAGGGGGTGACCCTTTTGGTGGCTGGAACCTGCCCCCAGCCTTCCCCCCACCCTCTCTTCTCCACATCGCTCGGCGAGCTGGCAGCTGTGGGGTCTCAGGAGAAACACCCAGCTCCCCAAGGATCCTCTGCGGCCTGCAGTGGAGAGCGAGGAGCACGAAGGAACATAACCACAGGGAGCTCCCAGTGAAGAGACCACGTACACTGGGCTGAATAGGGTCCCCCAGAAGTCAGGTCCATTCAGAACCTCAGAATGTGACCCTACTTGGAAACAGGGTCTTTGCAGGTATAATTAGATAAGATGAGGCCATGATGGATTAGGGTGTGTCCTATATCCAATAGGACCGGTGTCCTTACACGAAGAGAAAATAGAGACACAGAAACACAGAAATAGGGCACAGGGGGAAGAGGCCACGTGACAAGGAGGCAGAGACTGGAGGGATGTGTCTACAAGCCAAGGACTGCCGGCAGCCGCCAGAAGCCAGAAGAGGGAAGGAAGGATTTCCCGTAGAGCCTTTGGAGGAAGCGAGGCCCTGCCAACTCCTTGAACCCAACTCCCTCCCTCCTCCGTAATTATGAGGAAATAAATGCCTGTCGCTTTAAGCCACCCAGTTTGTGATATTTTGTTACAGCAGCCTCAGGACATTACATGGTATGTGGCACGTCTCCCAGAGCCTGGCAGGTACGAAGAGGCCACACGGTGGGGGAAGGGGAGTGGGGTGGTGGCGGCGGTGCTGGGGGCAGCCTGTATGTCCCAGGACCTCAGGGTGGAGCTCAGTGGTCAGCTAACCCAATCACCACCGCCAGCCCCAACTTGAACCCCTCGAGGGACGGCGAACTCACTTCCTGTTGGGCAGCCCTCTGTGGACACCTCTCGAGATCCGAGCTTCCCCACCTCTCCTCAGCTAGGCCTCTGCTGGTTCTTGTGAATGAAGAGTAACCACCGTCGGTGGGAGACAAGCAACTTTCTGAGTGATTCTCAGGAGAGCCCACTGAGGGAGGCCCAGAGACATCATATGCACTTATCACACAGCAAATGTGCATCAGGCACCTCCTGGGTGCTGGGCCCAGGGCTCGGTATTGACATACAAAGCTGAATATTTTCAAGGTTTGCAGTATAATCTCAATTTTATGGGGACATCATTGCAGCTGGGATCAATAAGTGATGTCCCAAGGCCTCACTGGTAGGTGGCAAATGGGGCCCGTGCCCTCATTCCTTCCCTCCATGAACTGCCACAGTCCTTGCATCTCCCCGTCTCAGACTGGAAAACTGGAGGCAGGGGGAGAGGCCAGGGGCCCACGGGGAAGGCAGGGGCAGCTCTAAGGTCTGGGAGGAGGGCTTTGAGGCCTGAGGCCGGCCAGGTCCCGGGACCTCCTCTCCCCGATTCATTCCACCTTGGCTGTGGCCCCAAGAATCCTTCTGTGACCCTGCTCAAGGCAGGCAGCGCCAGCAAGGGCTGGCCCCAAAAGATTTTCCTGGACCGAAGTGCAGGCCTGAAAGGAAATACCCTGATTATCAAGCTGCACGGGGCTCAGGGGGCCCCGAGGCTGACGTCCATGGTTTGGGAACCACGTTTCCACGTGTCCTCAGGAAGCCTTTCCCGGCTGGCTGCCTCAAGTGAGCATCCAAGACCAGGGCGGCAGGAACGGTCCCTTGTCCCCATCACCACTGCTGCCAACCACAAACATTCCTCCTTAGGAAGCAAATGAGCCAAAGGGCAGGTACCCCTCACCCGGTGCCAGAAAGGGGCACTCCTGCCCGTCGGGCCAAGGCCGAGCTCCCGGGGTAATGGAGGGGTCAGACGGCTTCGGAAAACGCAGGATCAGCCAGACCCTGTGGACCGCAGAGACCACGGGGCTGATAAGTTTAAAAACCAGAGGAGAGGGTGGACCTGGCCGTCTCAAGTCAGACAAGCACGCGAGACATCAGTCCAAGAGTCACCTCAACGCTCTGGCAGGAGCAGCTGCTCCTTCCAGACCCCAGTGTGTTTTCTTCATTAGTGTCCCCAGGGCCAGTGCTGAGTGCCAAGTACACAGTAGGTGCTTAATACACGTTTACCGGACAAAGCCACAAACAGAAAGCCAGGGCAGGGTCTGTCCCCATCAATGCAGGGGAAACGGCCAGGAAAGGCTGCCCCACCTCCCACAGAAGGACCCCAGCTCCTGGTTACATTTCTCCAAGCGCAGCCAGAGAAACGTCCCTAAGAAAGCAATCATGAGGAATGATGGCTATAATGCGGAGCAAAGTCAGGGAAGCTGTAATTGGGGTATCTGTTTCCTACCGCCGGACTCAACCCTCTCCAGTGAGCAATCAGCTCATTCAAGAGGACTGAATTCCAACTACTTGGCTTTGCAGAGAAATGAATGTTCTTTTCAAAAATGTGGAAAATTAAACCTCAACTCCCTCACGCCTTTGAAACCGCCTCTCTTCCAATCAATGCCATTGTTCCCACTCCAATCGTTTATCTCGAAGCCAGGGCGAGGCGCACATCTTGTCAAGAGGGAAAAAGAGAAGGTAGCCACTTGGGGAGGAAAAAAAAAAGAAACAAGCAAGAAAACCACAGGAGGAAAAAGTCCCGGTGTGTCTCTCGCAGAGTCACGAGCAGGCCGACAGCTCGGGGTACTCACCCGCACGACCACCACTTGCACGGAGACATGCTCTGGGAGGCGGATCGGGGCCCGGAAGTGCACGGCCAGGGACACGAGGAGGTGGAGGATGGCCACCAGGTTCTTCCCGTGAATCGCTTGTCGAGGAGGGAAGAGGGAGCCGCTTTAGATCAGGTGGTGTAGGAACCCCGAGCCCACGTCCGAAAGGCAATAAAGATACTGCGTCTAAATGAGACCTCAGAGAAAAACCACGGAAAAAACCACAGGCCACGGAAAAATGAAGAGAGTTGATGAGCATCCTGTGCGAATTTAGTTCTAGTTTCTGTCTTTCCTGTTGGCCCAAGGTGACTTGCGCAACCACTTTCAAAAGCAGGATGTTTTTAAAAGGAGTAAATTGGGTGGTGACAGGAGAAAGAACGGGCAGGAGGGGAAAATTAGCATGAGAAGGGAAAAGATGGTGAAAAATGGGTCATCCTGGCCACTCACCCACCACAATCCTGCACATTACTCTCTCTCGCTCTTAAAAAGTTTTCCCTCTGTGCACTCAGCTGGCTCCAGAGAGCAGGCTCTCAAGAGCAAACGGTGCTTTGGGGATGTTGGACGTGATGCCTGCTCTGCCTGAGTCGCAGGTTGCCATCACCAACTCCACTAGCTCTTCTCCAGTACACGGACCAAGGTGTGGTTATCATCACCACTTCTGTGCGGGGCTTTACAGTTTATAGAGCACTGGATTCCCCACCCACAGCCCCGCAGCCCATGAGGTAGGCGTGGGTCTGTCCTAGGTCTCGAGGCCTGGAAACCAGGGGCGAATCTCACCACAGCCGCAGCCAAGGGCTGTCTCACCAAAGCACAGGGGCCTCTCCTGGCCCTGACTGCCCGTCGGTCAGGATGAGGGCTGGGGGGAGGGGCGGCGGGAACAGAGAACTTCCCAGCTTCCCTGGTTTAGTTCTGCACCTTTCCGGCGTCATGTCTTTGCTGGAAATACTGTGCTATCACGTATTCCCAATGCCAGCGCGCTCTGAGACGTGTTCCAGAGGCCGGCATGAATGTTTCTGAGGCCCTGCTTTGGTGGGTCATCAGTAAAACAGCTCATTTGGGCACTGGTGCTATGAGTACCTGGGTAAAGGCAGAGCTGCTTCTGTCTTATAATCCAAACTCCCACCCTTCCTCTGGAAGTCTCCCTTGATCCACCCAACCAGAAACAACGCCTCTCTCCTCTGAAGCATGGGAAAAACAGAGAACGGTGGGCGTGACTTAGTCCCTTCTCTAACAGCTCCCGAGAGTGGGGGACTGGCTTTCTCCTCTCCCAGCTGCCTCTCACCGAGCAGGAGCAGGAACCAGTTTTAAAAATGCAAGGCCGCATGTGATGACGAGAGTGACAGCGTGTGGAGAGCCGAGAGGACCGGCTCCCTCTCCCCAGCGGCTACTCACAGTCCACGTTCCACTGGAGCGCCCGGCCGTGGAGCCGCAGCACGTCGTGCACCGCTTCCAGAACCGTCTGCAGCTTCTGCTTCTGCCCAATTTCGGACTGTGTCACCTCGGCCACATTCAGCTTGCAGCCCGCCAGTTTTTCTGCGACGAGAAGGACAAGAGCCAGAGGCAGAGTGAGGAAGAGCTGGAGGGACTCGGGCTGCCTGGCCAACCGGCTGCAAAGAGCTCCCTCCCCCGCCAGGTCTGAGGGGGAGCAGATCTTCATGCGACAACGGCGAGTTTTCAGGATGCTGAGCCACAGAACTCTGAACTGTCGAGTCATTCACATTCCTTAGAAAAATGCTCCAGCATGAAAAGAGAGAGGGGGGTTCAAGGACGAACCGTGGGCAGCCCACCTGGGAACATTCTATGCACATGAAATGGACAAAATGATTCAAGGTGCAGTTGGGAGGCAGAGAGGTGCCCTGCAGGGACGGGCGGAGGTGAGGAAGCTGTGCCCGTGGTCGTTCCCAGAGGGAAGGGGACTTGGATAAGAAAATAAAACAGGTCTCGGATGCTGCCTTCTGCCTCCCTGCACTCCTACGCTCCCATCCTAGTTTCTCTAACCTTTGGACACCACGTTAAGACGGTTTATTAGATATTCACAGATACCTGCGACTATTTTATCACCAAGAGCAGGCAGGAAGCAATCTGCAGGAGCCAGACAGGACTGTCACACCTGCTCAAGATTCAATTACTGAGACCAAGACCCAGCCACGGCCCGTGCACCTTCATCTCCCTCCCGAGCGGAGCAGTAGCTGATGCCTGACCCCACACCTGCTAAGGGGCAAGGAAGGTTCCCCAAGTTTCCCTCCTATTCATTTATTCCAAGATTCGGGTGTTTCCTGATAGATCTCCTCTGAAAAACAACAGAAGCACATCGCAGGATGCTGCGAGATCATTAACCGAGGGTGATTACAAAGCGCTGGCCCCAGAGCCTGACCTGCTGGGAGCCTTCAGCACAGAGCTGCTGTCCGCGCGGTTGGTGGGCGGGAGACCACAGAGGCAGTCGAGGCCAGGCTGCTCACAAGTGGGGTTTCCATTTGGCAAGTGGTCCCCAGCAAAGTTCTGTTTAAGGCATTTTCGCTGGAGGCCCCTGTTACTTAAATATTCTCTCCCCACATCCTCTCCTCCCTCGATTAGAACAACACGCAGTTCTGATATTCCCATCAGGGTAATGTAATTATTCAGCAATGCCTGCTGGGCTCAGGATACTCATTCATTCATTCATTCACTCACTCGGTCACAAAATAGTTACTGAGCACCTACTGTGGGCCAGGCACCGTCCTAGGGCTGGACGCAGCACAGACAAGAGAGGTCTCGAGTGGGAAGACAGCCATACCTAAATAACATCGAGTCGGGGAGCGGTGAGTGACGGGGGCTAAACAAAGCAGCTCAAAGAGATGCATTCTGCAGGGGATGGAAATGATTCCCGTTTATACATTTTGATTTCCCTCCATCTCCATTTAATGGGTCCTAGCTGAATAATCCACAGCTGTCTGTCTATACGAACACCTGAAAATACACAGCAGGTACCCAGGTGCTCAACAACCAGGGACAGGGCAGAGCAGGGGCCCCTGGGGAAGGAAGGAGGGTCACGGAGAGCTGGGTGGTCCGAGAGCCTCGCCCACTGAGAGATGGGGAGCCCAGCACGCCTCTGCGGTCCCCCTCCACCAGCCAACCTGCAGACTGAACGTGGCCGTGATAGCCGGGGTGGAGGAGGAGGAGTCGATGGAGGAGGGAAGGAAGCTGCTGGGGCTGCAGTAACACATACCGCAGACGGGGGCTTCAACAATGGAAATTCACTTCCTCCCAGTCCTGGAGGCCAGAAGTGCGAGATCAAGGTGTCAGTAGGGTTGGTTTCTCCTGAGGCCTCTCTCCTTGGCTTGCAGACTTCCATCTTCTCCCTGTGTCCTCACATGGTCTTCCCTCTGGGTGTCTGTCTTAACCTCTTCTTATAAGGACATCAGTCCTATTGGTTTAGGGTCCACCCATACGACCTCATTTTAACTTAATCACCTCTTTAAAGACCGTATCTCCAAATGCAGTCACATTCTGAGGTCCTAGCAGTGAGACTTCAACAAAGGAATTTTAAGGGGACACAATTCACTCCGCAAACGAAGCCAAGGTGCCACCTGAGGGGTCTTGGGTGACTCCCGTGTGGAAGAGGATCAGGTCCTTGGCTGCCCGCATTACCAGGCATCACTCTGTCCGCTGATGAGGCTGCAGGAGCAACTCAGGGCTTTGCCATGGCCGGGACCCCCAACTTCCCAGCACTGACAGAGTCAGAGGAAGACGGGGCGGATTCGCAGGCGTGGCAGGCAAACACGGGTGATGGCGAATGTGGGGCTGTGAACACTTACTATGCGAGGAAGGGCCTGACTTTTGTGAGGGGCAGGGTGTGCCGTGAGTTGGAAGAAGACAACAGCCAGCTGGGGAGCCCTCTGCACTCCAGCGTGGGCACTCTCCTCGTGTCCACAAACGGTCTACCTCGAGAGTAACAGACCCACAGGACCCGCCGCGGGAGAGTCCAGCAGCTGCTTCTGGAATCTGCTGTCACGAAGGGACACATCCGGGGTCTGGATGGTGACTCACTCGGCAACGCCACACGGCCAAATCCAGAGGTCCATTCTCGGTCCTCATCTCCCTCCCTCCTGCCTCCTGGAACACCTTCTCCTCTCTCCCTCCCGAGTGCAGCGCTCCCCCGGCTCCTCGCCCTCACGGCTGAAGCCTTCAGACTCCTCCGCCGGCTCGTCCTCTTCCTGAACACCAATGGCTGACGGCACAGGGCCCAGTCCTCAGACCTCTTCTCTCTACAGAAGTCAGCTTCGGCCTTGGCATTCAGCCAAATCGCCTACCTGACTTGGGCTTCTGCCTTTGGAAAGTCAAGAGCCGAATGCCTACATTGGTGTCATTCCCGGCATCCCGGGGCCCAGGAGCACGTGATCACAGAGGCCACTACTGCATCTCATCAGTGTAACCACATGGCTGAAACACCAGGCGAGACATTCTGATGTTCTGCTAATGCCTGAATATTCTCCTCCATTGTTCTTTTCTTCAGTCAAACAGAGTGTGTGTCAAACCACTTGACGTACAGGAGACGCTGGGCTCGCCTCATCAAGTACTGACGCAAGATCTTCAAACAGCAGGGGACCGCGGCCACTCCGCAATAAAAACGCCTCACGCTGCACTTCGCAGGCAACAGAACTGACGCAGCAGCACTCGCTGACGACCATGGCGGCTTCGAGGTGCTGCATTTGCTGAAGCCCAGAGAGGGAACAAAAGGATTTCCCTGAGCAGGCAAGGGTTTCTTACGGGATACCCGCCCTAAAGACGCCCGTCACTACTTCAGGGAGGGCGCTGGCATCATTCACCAGCAGCCAAGGCTGAGATGCAGAGGCAAATTCAGAGCCTGTCCTGTGATCCTGGCGCCAGGTAGAGTCCCATGCACACGCTGCTCGATCTAAGGCTAGGGACACGATTTACACGATTTTTCCAAGTGACTGGGTGGGTGAAGCCACAGGTGCACGCAAAAGAACTGGAAAGAAAATAATGGAAGTGGGCGCAACACTCAAGTTTGCTTCTGAAAATATGAGAAAGTCCCTCCTTCAGGCAGTGAGCAAGGCACCAGTTCAAGGGACGGTTTCAGTAAAAGAGCATTGTCACCAACAGCCAACTCTTCAAGTCCAAGAGTCAGAGGGGAGCTGGGTCCTTGCCATGGAGAAGGAGGGACGCTGATAACCCGGGGCAGCTTCCCCAGCAGTAGAGTCCTCGCAGACAGCCTCAGCCTCAGACCACACGCTCCTCTATCCTTCTCTGTCGAAAGTGAGTGTCTGTCACCGCAAATGTCTGGTGTCATGACCCCAAGAGCTGGCATGACTCCAGAACCTGACAGTGTGAGAACGACTATACCAACACCACCATATAAAACACTCAAACTCTATCCGACATGTTGATAATAAAATTGTGATAACATTAAACAATCTTGGTACATTTCAGATTTATTCCTGGATCAGGGAAGCTCATTCTAAGACGGGGGTCCTCGGCTTAGCCAAACAGAGATGCTAATTCTTGGCCATTCGGCATTCAGCCAGATAACGAATTTGGAACACCCTCTCCAAGTGAGGCCACCCAGGGCCCCTGGCGTTAAACGTTCCCTCTGCGCTGCTCCAGCCTCCCCAACCCCAACGCTACTCCCAAGGGCTTCCCTGTTCACCAGCTGCTCGGGCCACAAACCCGGCCGCCAGCCTTGATGCCTCCGGCAGCTTTAACCTCCAAAATATCTTGCCAGGTCTGACTTCCATCCCAGTCAGAGCCACTTCATCTGATGCCTGGGCTGCTATGACAGCATCCTGCCTGACCTTTCCACTCCAACTCCTGCCCGCCTCCCCCTCTGCTCTGCACCCAGAAGCCCAAGTGAACTTTTAAAACTCTAACTCAGATCATGTCACAGCCCTGCTCAAAACCTATAGTGGCTTCCTGTCACTTGGAATAAAAGACTTTGTCTGCCAGGTCTGGACGTGATCTGACCCCGTCTGTCTTCCCAGCCTCCTCTCTCTCTCTCTTACTGTCCACTCCCACCTCTTCAGAATCTCAGCCTGGAAGGCTCTTCCGATACTAACTGTGCAGATGTCCCCTCCCCAGAGTGGCCGGCCCTGGCCACCCAGCCTGTGCACCCAACACAGGTGCTCTCTACCTCAAACCCTCTCTGATTCTCTTCCTAGCACTTGTCACTCTCTGCAAGCATCTATCTGTGTTTTGGGTTGAACCACCCCATAATACTTCTCTTTCTTCCCTCTGCCAGAATGGGGGGGGGGGGGGGGACGGGACTCTCCTTCTGTGACCACTGCGTCTCCAGAGCCTAGATCCACACCTGCCACACAGCAGGCCAATGAATATTCATTCAACAAACAGAGGAATGACTAAAACAAACACAAACTTTTGTCCCTCCAAATGTATGTTTTGAGGATTGGCTGAAGAAGAACAAGACGATGTGTGAGCCACCCCTCACCGAGTGCTCAGAGCAAGTTACGTGACACTGCCCCTCCCCACGAGCTCGGCACGTTTCCCTCTGAGATCAGAGGGTCTGTAAGAGCCACTGTGCAGTGTGCAAACCCCACCCGAGGGACAAGGGTCCGAGCAAGGATGCAGATGCTGAGCTGGAGCAGGAGGACCACAGTCTGTGCTGCGCCCCGGGTTCCGGGATCAGCCCTCACTGCACAGTGCCCCTCTCCCGCCCCCGCCCCTCCTGTCTGCTTTCCCTCAGTAGCTCCCTCTCCTGAACAGAGTCCTCCAAAACCCCAGGTCCCTGACTCAGTGCCCCCAACTCAGCTCACCCACCCCCATTATAACTACGTTATAACTATGGAGGAAAACATGATCCTACCCATCACTGGCCCTGCCCCCGAAGGAGTGACCCTCGGGGTGGTGTGCTGGGGAGACCTTCAGGAGGTGTGTCATCCTAATGTACAAGGCGACAGAGTCCTCGAGGCCACCCCTGCAAGGCATTTGGGGACCCTGAAAATATATCAGAGCTTCTTGGGGACTGAGACTGTTCAGCAAACAGCTCGCCCCTTCTGGAGTCTTTGGATGGGGCCGAAGTCCAACAGATCTGGATAAATACTGGTTTCGTCTCCTGTAGAAGGAGCCCATGGTCCTTGTAGGTAATGAAACCGCAGGGCCCTGTTCACAGACTCGGTCAACATGTACCGACCGTGCGCCCGTTACTCAGGAACCGTTACTCAGGGGAACTCGACAGCCCCTCATCTTACTCATCATTTCCTTGTCTTTTTTTTAACTACCACTTACTGACTCCAGACCATGAGCCGGGCCCCGGGCCAAGTGCTCTGCACACATCAGCTCAGCGAGGAGCTCTGGTTGTCCCCAAACGACAGACATAAGAAGAGCCGTCTGCGATCACAGTCTCCACTGCTCGCCTCTCCTCCCCAGCCCAAATCATGCCCTTCAGCGCACAGCTCACTCATAACATATCCACCAGGGGCCGGCCCCCTCCTGCCACCTCCCGCCCTGAATGAGCCAGCACAGGCCTGAATGTGCTCACGGTCACCCAGGGCACAAGGCCGGCAGGGAGGGCCGACCCAGAGAGGCAATGGTGCCCTGTTCACACCCCATCTCTGAGCTCCCCTTGGGCGTGTGCTCACAACGGCACAGAAGCTGCAGGCAGTTCTGGAAGCTGTGTGTGACCGGTTGCAGCCCCGTGGGGGGACGCTCAGCAGGGGCGCCCACTGGAGAAACGATGAGACGACCAGGGACCTGAAGCCCAGAGCCCGAGGAAGGCACCTGGGAGCTGGGGGCTCAGGGCTGTGGCTCTAAGTCTACTCTCAGGACAAGTGACCGATGTCACCATGCAGAGAATCATGTGGTCCGGCCCCGGGGCCGGGGGAGCCGCGCCTCCTGTCCACTCACCCAAGAGCTTCTGCAGCACCTGGCCGTCATACAGGTCCTCCTCCAGCTGCTTCACGATGATCCTCTCCTCCACCAGGACGTCGTTGATCCAGTCAATGAGAACCTGGGGGGGAGGCGGGCGTTACGGCCTCGCTCAGCAGCACCACGAGGACCAAGGCAATGACCAGAGCAAGCGCAGGAACGGAAAGCTGCTGGCCCCGGAGACGCCCGCTGGACAGCAGCCCGGCCAGCCAGGAGGGGAAGGCAAGCTTCTCCAGCCGACGGGGCGGGCGGGAGGGCGCTCACCCACCCCCGCGCTGCCGGGACTGCCCGGGGGAATTCAGAGAAGCCGCGGACAGACACACGGTGACACTGGGCCTCCTCCTAGCAGGAGGGGCAGGCTCAGATGCTGTCACCACAGGGAATGACACCTGTTCACCCGGGCAGAGAGGAGGGGGCTCAATGATAAATGTTAGGAGCAGTGCCCCGCACGGCCCCAGGCAGTACAGACCCTCCATCCCCTCCCGCCCATAAGGTCTGTACGGTCACCCAGAGCCTAAAGCTGTAGAGAGAAGGGGATCCATGTGGTCTGTTACTGACGAGCTCTTTATAACAGCTTTGTGGAGACAGAATTCACACACCACACAATTCACCCTCTAAAGTGTACAATTCGGTGGTTTTGGTATACTCACAGAGTTGTGCAACCATCACCATAATCAACCGAAGAACATTTTCATCACCCCAAAAAGAAACCCCGTACCTATCAGCAGTCACTTCCCCTTCCCCAGCTCCTTCCAACAATTAAACCACTTTCTGTGTCTCTGGATTTGCCTATTCTGGATATTTCATATAAAGGGAATCATACAAAACGGGATCTTTTGTGTCTGGCTTCTTTCACCGAGCATCATGTTTTCAAGGTTCATCCAGGTTGTGGCAGGTGTCTGCACTTCATTCCTTCTCACGGCTGACTCACATTCCATCGAGGGGATGGCCCACACTCTGCTTATCCACTCAGCAGGTGACGGGCAGGTGGGCTGTCAGCACTTCTCAGCTATCGTGAACAATGCTGCTGTGAGCGTGGGTGGACACGGGTTTACGTGGACTCCTGTGTTCATTTCTCCAGGCCAGCCTTCTCCTTAAGCCTTTTCTCAACAAGATTTTCATCCAGTTCACTGGGTGATACATGACAAAAGAAGATGGCTTCAATTGTGAAAATATCGGTGCAGAAATAGGATTCCCACGGAACAGAATTCCATTTGCCCAATCCTGCGTAAGGCACTTCACAAAATAAAACGGACGCCTGAACAGACTTGATCAAAAATATACGGAGTGCGTGATTTTTTTGTGCAAGCAAAACTAAGCTACTTAATTGGTCCCAGCAACCTCCTGGAAATGGGAGGGTAGTGCCCCCTCAGAGACAGACAAAAGTCACAAATCCAGACTCTAGCGTTCTCTGTCACTCTGAAACCGATGCGACCTGCAGAATTGGCCACAAAGCAAATTTCTGCAAATTCTATTTTCCCACTAACTCAAAAATATTAAATCAGACACACAGCCCCATGAAAAACAGAAGTAAAAATAAACTAAAGGGAGGTTGGAGGAAGAAAGAGGTAAGCAGCCCCGTGGCATTCTGGTTTTGTCACAGCCATCCCCGGTCCCACCGCTCCAGCCCTCCTCCAGCCCCTCCCTGGAGACAGCACCGGCCTGGGAGTCTGGGAGCTGGACCTGACCACCCTGGCCCCTCCAGTGACTCCCAGCCCAGCTGCCTCCCCTCCCATCTTCCAGCTCTCCCGTCACCCACAGACCCCCAAGATTGCCCGGCTTCTGCCCCCCTCTCGGACCACCCTTCCAATTTCCTTGGGGGGGTCCTCCTTGGCACCTCCCCATCCTCCTAACCTTTTTTCTTTTTTTTTGTTGAGGAAGATCTGCCCTGAGCTAACATCTGTGCCAGTCTTCCTCTACTTTGTATGTGGGTCGCTGCCACAGCACGGCCGCTGCTGAGTGGTGTAGGTCCGCGCCCTGGAACCGAACCTGGGCCACAGAAGCGGAGCGCACTGAACTTAACCACCAGACCACAGGGTCGGCCCCCACCTGACCTTTAAAGAGCACATTCCTGAGGCCTCACCCTGGACGACTCCTCTTCTCGCTCTCCACTCTCTTCCGGCTTATGCCCCCCTCCCCACAACTTCTAATGTCATCTCTATCCCAGAAACCCCTAAACGTACAGCCCCACCTCTGCACTATCCTTCTGCTCGGGTGTTCCATGAGCACCTCTAACTGAACTCGTCACCCCCCAAATCTGCTCCTTTTCTGAGAAGGAAACAGGACAGCACTCACCAGTTTCAGGAGCCTGGACTCCATCCCCTTACCCCATTTGTGCCCACTTCTTCACTGGGTCCACTTCTGACCCTCTCCTCTCCCACCACCCTCATCCAAACCACCTCCCTGGGCCATGGCTACAGCCCCAAGTGAGCACCCTGCCCCCTTGCTGATGTTCTTCAAATACCCCAAGCTCTTCTCTGCCTCAGGGCCTTTGCACATGCTCTTCCTTCCACCCTGAACACATCCTCCTCCCCCACCGCCTGGCAGGCTCTCACTCATCCTTCAGGTCTCAAGCTCCCGTATCATTCTCTGACCACCCACCCCACCCAGGCCACATCCCCCCACCATGGCTCTCACCACACCCAAGTGTCTTTCCCGACACTGTTCACATTTGCAATAGGAGCACATCTTTGTTTGTAATGATTTCCCCTAGGAGACTTTAAGCTCTGTGAGGGCAGGGACTCTGATCTTGTTTGTGGCTCTGTCCCTAGCGCTTGCTGCCTGGCACTGGAGCTCTATAAGCAGCATCGAGTCAAAAAATTAACTTACTAAGCACCACTATGGAAATAAAGAGGATAGATGAGGCCTCGGCCCTGAGGCCCTGACATTCTAATCAGACACTAAAACGCAAACAAACACACACACTTCCACGTTGTGATCGATGTTATGAAGAAAAATAAGGCAGAGTTTAGTGGAGAAACCCAACAAACCACCTCAGTCGGGTGATCGAGGTCAACATCAATGTCCCCTGGTGGGATGTGACGAGAAGGGCACCTCACCTCATGGTCTCCCTCCCCAACCCAGAACCCCAATCTAATCCCGAGAAAAACAGCAGACATGTCCCAATAGAGGGGCATCCTACAAAATTCCTGAGCAACACTCCTCAAAACCATCAGTCATCAAAAACAAGGAAAGTCTGAGAAACTGTCACTCCAAGAGGAGCCTAAGGAGACACGACGACTAAAGGGCATGTGGGGTCCTGGATGGGGCCCTAGGGCAGAGAAAGCACAGTAGGTACAAACTAAGGAAACCTGGATAAAGGGTGGACTTTAGTTACTAATAGTGTATTAATGTTTGTTATTCATATAACAAATGTACCGTGCCGATGAAAGATGTTAATAATAGGGGAGCCTGGGTGTGGGTACACGAGAACTCTCCGTACTGTCTTTGCTATTTTTCTGTAAATCAAAAACTGTTCTAAAAAATAAAGTCTATTGAAAAAATAAGGCAGAGTTTGGGGATAGAGAGGGCAGAGGGACCACCGGGGAATCAGGGGGTTGGGGGGCCTCTTGGAGGAAGTGGCATGTGAGCAGAGACGGGAAGGAGGTGCAGATGAGCCGTGTGGCCACCTGGAACAGCCTAGGAGGGGCCAGGGCAGGAGCTGGGGTCCGTGGGCACCAAGAGGGGCAGGTAGGGGTGGGGGGCAGAGCCGGCCCTGGACTCTCAGGGGCTGGGAGGGGAGGGGCCATGAAGCCTCTTGGGGCAGCGGATGAGAGAGTGGGCGCTAGCGGGAGTGGGGCTGGACACGGAGACCACGGAGGGTCCCAGTTGGACAGAAATAAGGTTCGGCGATGAGGGTGGGAACAGGCAGGTGAGGCCGGGCATGAGGAGATGGAGGAAGGAGCGGCCGGGTGGTGACTGGGGCGTCCCCGGGGATGAAGTCCCAGGAATGGTGGGCGGAGAGGAAGCCCTCACCAGGGGCTGGAGGTACCAGTGTAGGAAGAGGGAACAAGGGGGTGTGAGGGGGGCGTCGACAGTAGAGGGGGGAGGGGTAAGGCCTGGAAGCAGCACTGAGGAGCTGGGAGGAACCTGCCCCCTCCAAGCCCCCAGACCCTCCCTCCCCTCACGGAGCCGACCGGACCCGTCACCCGCCCTCCCCGGCCTCGGTGACACAGCCGCAGACGGTGGCTTCAGGGACCACAGACAGACGTGCCCCACACCTTTATCTCCCCGAACGCCAGCCTTGGCTCCTCTCGGGGACGCCCTGATCCTCGGATCCCTAATCCTACAAAGCTCCAGGAATCTGCTACCCTCGTCCTTTCATCAGGGATTTTACAGGGATTATTGGAGCCGAGCGGCAGTATTACATTCAGCTCAACAGCTATTACAGAGCACCTTCCTCCTGCCAGGCCGTGGGGGCAAAGGCGACCGGGTGAGTCCACGCTCCGGCAAAGAGAGAGGAATTATGAGCAAGAGCGAGAAGAACTCTTCACAAAGAATTATTAGAGGAGGGAACACGCAGCCCAAGAAGCCGAGGAAGCCCACAGAGTCGGAGCTGGCTGGGCAGCGTCCGAGGACAGGGCAGGACACGGCTCAGCCCCGGGGGGGTGCGCAGCGGGACGGGGGCAGGCAGGCACAGGAAATGGCAAGATCCAGGCCACAGAGGGGAGAACGTGTGCCCCCGACGTCCCGGGGACGGCGGAGGCGTTCGGAAGGTGAACCCGCAGCAGGAGGTCAGGACGGGCCGGGTGCCCCGTCGGAGGACGGAGCTGCGGGACTCACGGAGAACCACTTCTTCCCAGAGCGGCCATCGGTCCAGGGGCCCAACCCCGCATCCCACACTTCCTCAGAACGGAGGACCGATGCTTCTCCTCCCAGAACAAGAGACCTGGAATGTCTCCTGTGGTGGCTCTGAGGGCGGCCCAGCACCCGGACCCCCAAATCCTCTCGCACAGCCACGGAACAAAGCCCCCCGTGCATATGCCCCCATGGGGGCCTGTTCTGGCCACTTGATGAGATTTTATTGGTTTGTACTTTTTTGCAAATTTTGTGAAATTTAAACTTAAGAGACAAAAATAAGTG